GAGGCGCCGGCGAGGGGCAAGGGCGGGCGCGACGGCTTCTCGGTGGGCCGTGGACAAGGGGCAGAAGGTCAAGATGGGGGCAGGCGCTGGGGCGGGTGGACGAGGAGTGAGCGAGGGCGNGTTTTGGGACGGATTGGCTGATACCGCCCTGATTATATAAAAAGCCAAAAAAGCAACAGCAAGTGTATGAGGTCGAAATAAGAAGGGGTTGGTGGGATTTGCAGTGACATGCACGTCCCGATGCACTAATCATACGCGCGAGCCACTTGGCTTTCCAGTCAGCATCCGCGTGACCTCGAGCTCAACGACATTCGATTTCTAGAGGATATTCAAGAGTGCCAAGCTCCAGGTATCATTGATCTAGCCTTGTCTAGGTTTCTTGCTTGGAATATATACAGTCCAAAAACGCAAACGCTTTCTATTGTTTCTTTTTTTTTTTTTTCTTTTTGTCTTTTTTTTGTATCTTGTCATTCGTCTAAGCGCCAAAGACCTTGACGCGCTCCTCGAGGGGCTTAAAGGTCTTCTCGCCGGCCTCGCCCGTCTTCTTGCCAAAGACGAGCTGGGCGTTGAGCTTCCAGGACGCGGGCAGGCCCCAGGCGGCGGCGACCTTGTCGTCGACGATGGGGTTGTAGTGCTGCAGGTTGGCGCCGACGCCCTCGGCCTCGAGGGCGAGCCAGAGGGTGTACTGCAGCATGCCGTCGGACTGGGTGGTCCAGCCGGGGAACTTGTCGGCGTAGAGGGCGAACTTGGCCTGCATGGCCTCGGTGGTGGTCTGGTCCTCGAAGAAGAGGATCTTTTTTGGAGGAGTTAGTTTTTTTTTTTTTTTTTTCTCCCTCTTTTTGTCGATATTGGGGAGCTGGCGAGGGGACAGAAAAAAAAAAAAAAGAGTGAGGGAGGAGGAGACAAAGCTTACCGAACCAGCACCAGCCTTGAAGCCGTTGACGCGCGCCTCGGACGCGGGCCAGCCGGCGGCGGGCACGATGGCCTTGAGCGTCTCGGCGACAATGTCCCAGAACTTGTCGTGCTCGGCGCCGAAGAGGACGGCGACGCGGTTGGGCTGGCAGTTGAAGCTCGAGGGCACGTGGTTGACGGCCGTGTTGACGATCTCCTGGACCCGCTCCTTGGACACGGGCAGGTCCTTGCCGAGCGCGTAATGCGTGCGGCGGGCCTTGACGAGGTCCAGGAAGGCGTTGGCGGACATGGCGGCGGTTTGTTGGTGGCGGCGGAAGGTGGAGCGGATGACCGGAGAGGGTGAGGAGAAGGGCGTTCTGGCGAGTGGTGCAAGACGTCTGGGTATGGCGGCTCGGAGGACCGTTCTGGCGACGAGGGAGGAGCTCATGTGGCCGGTGGAGGGGGGACGAGGGGGTATTTATACAGCAGAGGTATGTGTACGGGCACAGGCAACAACGCAGCGATGGGTATATAACTAGCCAGGTGTTGTCTGCCACGGCGGGCCGTCCGTCTGTTGCTGAAGTTGCGGGGACGTGGAGGGTGTCGGCGGCGGCGGGGGGAGTCGTTGTCGTGGCCACCTAGGTAGGTGGAGAGAGAGGTGTGGTGTGCATGATAGGCCTTCTTTTTTTATTATATACCCGCCCAAGCATCATCCACCGCCCGTTCTGCGCTGCTGGCACGTCGCGGCGGCCCCGCCGAGCTGGCGGGCAGTTTTGGCGCAGGGGGTGTTCCATCATCTCAAGACTGGAATACAGGGTAGCTTATTGCTGACACGCGGGGAGCGATGGCACGGTTGGGTTGACTGGGACTGATAGATTTCAAATCCGGAGAAGGGTGGTTCGTAACCGAGAGATATGATTATCGAAAGCGTATCAAAACCGCATGCATATGAGATGAACAGCACAAACAGACGCAGCCGCCGTCACCCAACCCCCCTCGTCCTCCCGCCGAAAACTCGAGCTTCCATCGCGTTCGAAAAGATTGAGTGGGACACAAACAACCCTGCAGCAGCGCCTGACGCAGCCCGCTGACTCGGTGATGGCCAAGCACAATCGCGCAATCCGGCAGGCGGGCAAGGGGGGAGGCTGGCTTGCGGGCGCCGGACCGACATCAGTAATGGATTTTTAAGCAGGACAAGCAGCCGCGCGCACGCACGCATGTTTTGTGGGGGTTGTGAGCGGGGCCCGCGCCTTCCCGCGCGCTTGTTCGATCGAGCCCAGCGTGGAATTCGTTCGATTTTATTCCGAGTCGGGGGAGGAGGAACGGGATGAGGACGGCGGCGGGAACGAGCCGGGCGCGAAGAGGGGATGGTCCAGAAGCTCTGTAATCGTCGGCCGTTGGTCGGGGTTTCTGTAGGGGGGAGTCGTTGGTTAGCAATAGTCGGGGTATCAAACAAACAAAACAAAAACAAAAACCCACATGTAAAGCACCGCCGCAGGAAATCCGTCCAGTTCGGCTCATCCTCCAGTATCTTGACCCGCGCAGCATCTCCCTCCTGTCCACCACACCCTCCCCCTTCTTCATCTTCTTCACCGCAGCCACCCGCTCAGGCAGCGTCCTCAGCGCCCCCGGCAGCCCATCAACACCACCATCGCCAGCCGCCACGTCGTGCAGCAGCGGGACCAGCAGCACCTTTGCGACCCCTTTGTTATCGACCATCATAATATGCCGCATCTCGGGAAGCACGAAATCCACCACCCCCCAGGTCGCGCGCCTGCGCGCCGCGCCGTGCACAAAGACGCGGAACAGCGGCAGCGGCGGCGGCGGCGTCTGGCCGGGCCTCTGGTAGGCAAAGATGCTCTCGAGGTCGCCCCGCGACGTGCTCGGTCAGGAGGTAGGTGTGGCCGTCTTCTTTGGCGTCGTCGTCGCGGTGGTGCGGGCCGATGATGGAGACGACCTGGGTGGGCTTTTTGTTCCCTCTGCCGCTCCGCGAGGCGCGAGGCCTTGTGCAGCACCGCCGCGACACGCCCGCCGCGTCGAGGTCGAGCCGGTGCGCCTACACAAAGTCCCCCTTTTCGCGCGTCAGGGCGAGGGTGACGGGCCCGTAGCGCCCGTCCCAGAGGTGGGCTCCCAGGAACAGCTCGTCGTCCTCGTCCATGGCTGTGGGTTATGCTGCTGTATGTCAAGTGGCCGCGTTTATCGGTTGATGCGTTTGCCGACAACAGGTGAGAACAGTAACGATCGAGATGGTGGTTATAAACGGGTTGGACAGCCGTCCCCAGACCGCCCCTCGTTGTTGCCTATTGTGATGGAACCAACAGCCCCTCCTCGTCGGCTGTCGACCCGTGACAGCTAGCAGATGCGCAACGCCGTCATGTTTCAGGTCAGCGTCCCCTGTATGCCACCAAGAAATACCCAACATGTCAACATTTGATATCAACGTTTGATATATGCTATCAAAACTCCGCCCCGGCCGTCCGACTTGCGCACATTGCTGTGCAGACGAGACAGCCTATGTACCTATTTGCATGTTTTCAGGTGTGTAACCTATATAAACCGAACGCCCCGATAAGAAGTGGTGAGATGTCGAAAGCTTTCCTGCATCTATGCCCATTTATAGAGAAAAAAAGAGAAACAAAAAAAGAGTGCCATTGTATCCCCAGGTAGCCATGGTTCTTTTCTCTTGGTCCGTCAAATAACCAGGAAACCCAGCCCGAAAATGCATGCCCAAACGGCCAACTGTGCTTTGCTCAGTTTTCATGCGCCTCGTGACAGAAAAGAAAATCAAGGATAATGAATATAAAATCACCACGTCTCGGCAATGTACTGGCCGACCTCCCTCTTGAGGTCCCAGAACTTGTGCGCCTCCTTGCGGCCGAGGTTGCCCTTCTGCATGGCCACCTCGACGAGGGCCTCCTCGACGCCCTCACCCATGCCCCTACTGGAGCCGCAGACAAAGACGCGGCCATCGACCGAGTTGATGATGTACCAGACCAGGTCGGCCTGCGCCCGCACCTCCTCCTGCACGTAGCGGCCCTCGCCGCGCCGCGACTCGACCACGCGCTTGACCTCGTCCTCGTGCACGCCCCACTCGCCGCTGTAAATCTCGTCGACGAGCGAGTCGCGCACGCCCTGGAGCACCCAGACCTTGTTGGCGCAGTTGGCCGTCTTGAGCCGCCGCTGCACGAAGCCGCGGAACGGCGCGATGCCGACGCCGGCGCCGATCAGAAGCATGGGCCCATCCGTCATGAACTGCTTGGCCAGCGGGTTCGCCATGAGGCCCTTGAACATGGGGATGAATACCTCGGGCGCCTCGCCGCGCTCCTGGGTGCCCAGGAACCGCAGTGCCTGGCGCTGGAAGAAGCCCGAGCCGATGCCCATGCGCGTGCCGCTGCGCCAGTCGTTGTCCGAGTGCACCGTCACGGCGATCTCGACGATGCGGTGCTGCTTGCCGTCGCGCGTCTCGAACGACTCGTGCGGGTCGTTGGACAGCGAGTAGAAGCGCGGCATCAGCGGCTGCAGCACCGTCAGGAGCCGGTCTAGCGGCGGCTTGGACGACGGGAAGGCGTGCAGCAGCTGCACGAGCGACACGTGCGGGCCCGTCCGGAAGTCGCAAAAGACGCCCTGGCCCTCGGCCGAGCAGAGGAAGAGCAGGACACGCCGCTCCACCTCGTCCGTGGCGTACTCGGCCAGCACGCGGAGGAGGGCCTTGGTTGGGGGGTAAGATTGCACGTCTGAGCACCACGTGAGCAGCGCCCGCCGCGTCGTGAGCAGCGACCGCGCCGCCTCGTCGCCCCAGACGGTGGGCCAGCGCCCGCCCGTGGTGCGTAGGAGTGCCGGGCGGTCGCGGAGGAAGCGCGGGACCAGGAGCAGGTCGAGGATCTCGTCCACCACGGCCGAGTCGTTGGGCGCCGACACGCCGATGGCGCCGCCGACCTTGAAGTCGACGCCCTCGCTGTCAGGGTAGTCGGTGATATCGAGGTCGAAGTGAAAGGTGCGCTTCTCGGCACCGGGCCTGGTCAGCTCGCGCGTGTTGTGCATGCGCGCGGCGAAGACGTTGTGCGGCGGGTGCGGCTGCACGAATTTGGGGGGCTGGATCGACGTGTCCTCCGAGTTGAGGGAAAGGTCGCGCAGCTTCTCAACCGCGCAGTCAAGGGTTGGAACAGAGTCTGTTGACGCCAGCGGGATGGACGAGTCTACGGGTGAGAGTGAAACGGCAGAGTCTGCTGACGAGGGCGGGTTTCTGGATGCCGCTGCTGGCCTAATGGATTCGAAGAAGGCGGTCTGCGGGGGGAGATCGGCGACATTGGTCAAGGTGCTCGGGATGGCGTCAATCTTGAGGAGCAGGGACTGGAAAGCGTTGTTGCCGGGCAGCTCAGGCTTCTCCAGCTCGACGCCATCCTTCCTGGCGGCCGACTTGAAGCAGCAGCCACCGCCGCAACACCTCTTGACGACCTCGGCCGTGGACTCGCCCGTGATGCGCTGGATGTCGGCGGCGCTCTGGGCGATCAGACGGGTCGAGGCGCGCCGCCGCCGGGGCAGCTCCGAGGGCGGCGTGCCATCATCCAGCTCCTGCTCATTCTCGGTCGAGTCGGAAAAGGTGAGTGACGGGGCAATTGAGGGAGCACGGGGCTCCTCTGGGATGCAGCCCGAGGTCGACTCGGCCAGGATGGTGTCTAGTCGGGATTGCATTGTCGCTGTTGTCGCCATGAGGTGGTGGGGGAGCGATGTCGGGGTGGTGATGAGAAAGTGTTGGCGAGCAGGCAACGGGGCAGGTCGGCAGGAGAGTCGGACGGCCGTGGGAGAGCGGAGAATAGATGTATTAATGAGGGAGGAGGGTCGTCGTAGGGGTTCGGCAAGTCAATGGCCAGCGGGCATGGCAGAGGGACCGACAAAAGGCAAAATGGAGGAGGGGCGACGAGAAAAGCGAAAAACTCGATAGGGGGAAGGGGGTTTATCAGATGGATCAGATAACGCTCAGGCCAGCCACACTGGACCCAAATTCTAGGCCCTTGGTACCGTAGCCCAACAAAGTCGACGAGTCGGATGGCACCCTGCAGTGGGAAATTAGCCCAAGACAGGCGGTGGGAGAGAGTGATATGGCCAGATATCGCAGCTGCTGAGAAATGAGCAAGGTGCAGCTGAGCCGGAGCGGTGGGAGAGGTGAGAGGCGCAGTGGGAGCCCGCTTATGAGAAGACGTCAAATCCAGGCCACTTTGATCAAGTAACATGGGCTCCATCATTACACAAGCCTGGGCTCGCCTGGCGTTCTCGCCAAGCCTTCCCCAGCCAGCCCCACATCCAGGCGGGGCTTTTTTTCGCACCTGGCCGCCGGTCTTCGCCGTGGTCGGAGCCAGCGCGCGGGTGGAAATCTCCAGCTGCTGTGCTGCCGCCGGAAATGCTCGGCTGAATATGCGCCTCCTTTCTCCTTTGGGCTGTCAAATGCCACGCTTACAGCTGCATTTCCGGGACGCCGTTTTTACCCTGTTCTGTTCGTATAGATGGACAAGAGGGCAATATTGCGTGCGGTGCCTTTTTTTGTTGGTCCAATCGTCCCATTGCGATGCATTCCACGGCAATGGTCTCGTGCACTGGTCACCCCATTTTGCCCCCAACTCTCGCCACCCAATTCCAACTTTTCTTTCCCCTGCCTGCAACAGTTCATAGTCCATCCATCCCGCCGGCTTTCCTCGTATGCTCCCACGGCACTACGGAAATGGAAATGGGCAATGCCGGGTGTCACGGTTACACTATGCACGGTGGCATATGGTGGTGGTAAGTGGCAGTGGTGCAATGGGAGAACTATCCTCCCTGGTGCCGACATTCTCTGCGCACGTGCCGGCACCGAAAACCCGCGGACAATCACCGCGGCTGGCAATTGCGGCCGAGCCTTTGTTGCCGGCAAGATAGACCTTGGAAGATCCTTGCGGACAGACGGGGGTGGCCACCGCTTTCTGGTCATGCCCGAAGTGTCTGCTCGGAAATGCCCGGCGGGCAATTGAGTCCCGGCAGGTAAGAGTGTTTTTTTTTCTTCTTTTCTTTTTTGCCTTTCTCTCTTCCCAGACCAGATGCGTTTTCGAATTCGCATCCCACGGTCCCTTGTCCGGTCGCCTCCGACCTCGGCCCAGCCGCCCTGTCGCTTTGTCGCTGACACAATCTTATCTCATCCATCATGACATGGCGTCTTGGTTGGCCCTCAGCACCCTTGTCCGGCCCACTTGCCTTGCTCCTGTTTGGCGCGTTTGCTTCTCGATGGCGCATCTGATGAAAAACAACAGTCATTGCTCCGTCACGAATGGACGGTCAGTGAAGGCGCCAAGAGCTGCTGACAGCTCTGTTGACAGCTCACCCGCCTGTTGAAACGACAATCTCCTCTGCCGTCGGGCTGACATACGTAGATAGGAGATGCGTGCCCTGCCTCTGTACTTTCGACTATTCTTTCGACTATCCTCAAACCAGGCGTCCGGCTGGGTAGCACTGGTACTAGTCCGCTGGTACATGTCCACTGGTACATGTCCTGCGCGATTTTGGGCCGCCACCATGCCGCTCCTGTCCCCCGCGTTGCCCACAGAAACAACATCTGCCGCGGGATAGAGTTACCACTGGTTGGGGTCCGGCTTCTCCGGCCCTGCGAACGTCTGTCTGTGCTGTGGGGCTTAATCTCCGTTGTTACAGGTCATCTTAATCTCAGGATCAGATAAGATGGTGTTGAAGGTGTCTCCTCCCCCTGGCTTCATGGTGTCATCGGCCCGTCTCATGGGGCCACGTAATTCGAAAGAAATACGATCAAGGACATAGATTGTCCGCAGACACTCTGCATGGGCAAGGAGACGTAACCGAACTAAAATACTTGGCACACCTTGGGCCCCAATGCCACCGCACCCGTCCATCTCTCATTTCTTTCCATCCAAAGGTCCGCTTCTTGGGGGGAGGGCATAGAAAGCATGCCAACGGCGACTGTTGGCTCTGCTGTAAAATGGTGGCAAGATACAGCCCAGTACCGTATTATCTCAAAAGGACGGGATTTATACTAAACCCTTTTTGGGCTCAGCGGGACCCGTCTTCTGGTCGACTATTCTATTAGAAAGAAAGGCTGGAGCAAAAGTGAAGCGCACGCGCAGTTCGTATAGCGGAACAGACCGGATGACGGGCTCCCGCTAGACCCTCAACCGTTTAGTAATAAACCACGCCCGTTTGAGATAATATGGTGGTACATGCATCTTCCTCGTTGCTCCTTCGCAAACCTCTTTTTTATAATCACAATATCCCATACACCCTTTATCATCTCGACGTACTTTGTCTTCCTTTGCAACCGCCTTCCGATAGGTGCAAATCCCAGTAATGCGATGCGTAGCTGAGGAGTGTCCAGCGCCGCGACTGAGCGAGTAGAGCTTCGTCACTCCCACAGATTTCTCCTTGACCAAAGGCACATATCAAATAGTCGAGGCATCGCTGGCTAAGCCTTCAGTTTTGATCCGGCACATTCCGCTTGCCACGCCATAATAGGTGCGGCTCAGTAAAAAAAGCCCCCAAGCCGGCGCTAGGAATCAGACAAGATCCGGTGCCCGAAGCTATCGCGGAGCTCGGGCCCCGTCTTCTTCGCCTCGTCCGTCAGGGCCCGAGGTGACAGGCCGCCAGGAGCCCATCGAAGGCCTGCGCGTCACGATCCACCAGTACGTGCGGCACAAGCCCTTGCATTTGTACATTTCCAGCTCCGACGAGGAGTTTAGCCAGACCTTGATAGAGGAGGCGGACAGGTGCGAGGGTTTGGCAAGGCGGGCGGCCCCCCGCCAAACCCGGCAACCCCAAAGCCAAACCGGCGCAGTGCGGGAAGCCCAAGGCGTGCCGGCCCAAAAACCCGACCCCTCCCGCCTGGTCTGCATGCGTTGGTGTCAGGGCAGCGTATAGCAGCGGCGTTTTGGTCGAGGTATATAGGTCTGCACAGGTATCGTGGAGCTAGGGCAGCACATCGCAACCGAGTTCTGATTTCGGGTTCATAAAACCAGGTGCAGTTACTTGGCGTACGGGCGGCCTTGATCATGGAATCAAGGCTTAGATTTGGAGTTACTAGCAGAATACACTTTGCCCTTCCCATCCTCGCCACTTACTATCAGGAGGATCATCCCACTCGTCCTCAATAATAAGCCCGCCCCTCAAGTTGCGTCGGGTCGAGCCTGATCCCCAGCCTGGACAAAAAAACAAGACGCCCCCGTCAAGCCCGCGCTGTCGCGGATGCTAGGCTCGACCCCCTTTCATATCAGTACCCGGCAGGCTCAGCAACTGCTTCCTCGAGAGATTCCCACAAACCCCGCCCAACCTGTCCCCGGATTTAGGTGCCTCCAAGCCCTCCATTGCGCTATGGCCTAGTGCTTAGCGAGCCGGGCGAAGGTTAGAAGAGGACTGTATATCTTTAGCATGGTGGCAGCCTTATATGCCTTGTATGCAGGCTAGCTTTCGAGAAGCCCACCCATAATCCTGCCTGCACCTTGGTTCCAAAATCGAATCAACCGAGCGACACGAAGGAGCCCAAGGAAAATCAAGCCCACATCTGAACCCCTGCCAGACTACAAAGTCAGCTTCGTCCTCTCCATATTTCCCAGGCCGTGTCAGGCAGTCTCCGTGCGCTAGAGGCCAGGGCCAGTCAAGGCTCGCTCCAACCTAAACGGCATATCCAACACCTTTTTGGACTGTGATGGTGCCGCGTCAGAATCTGTCATTTCTTTTGCACAAGTGACCAAGCGTCGACTCGCAGCAGCACAGTCCCACGACAACACACAAGACAGGAGGCTCGCCTATCCATGGCGGAGCCTCGGCTGTAGGTGGACGGCGCACCAAGGTACTTTCGGGCACCAGGACATCCCCCAAGAAGATGCCAACTACCGCATCGGCAGCATCTCGAGAGCCGTGGTAAAAGGTGACTTCCCGACGGCACAAGAGACGCACTAAGAACCACACATCAAAAGCTGCAAAGATTATCGTTTAGCCAACAAAATTACACGCTAAATGATGTTTGTGGGGGTGTCTATGTACGTTTGTTTTAGGAACATGAGCAGTCAGGCAGTGGTGGGTGGTGGTATGGAGGACACGGGTCTGTTGGGAAAGGGGGACCTCCCGAGTGACTTTGCCCCATTGACTCCTTTTTCTTTTTCCAAAAAAAAAAAAGGCAATTCACCATCACAGCGTAGGACATGTGGATGGGCTGGGGGAACAATGGATCGCGAGAAGCCAAAACAACAAGCCGGCC